TATAGATTCAATTGTTGATAGATAGTATTTATTGCCATTTTATTGTTCACATTTTTTTATCTTCTTCTTAAAGACTCCTCAACATTTCATATAATACTGGTTTGGTGGTGATGAACTCTTTTAGTTTTTCCTTGTCTGGGAAACTTGGTATGTCCATCGATTCTAAATGATAGCTCTGCAGGATAAAGTAATCTTGGTTGTAGGTTGTTGCTTTTCATCACCTTGAATATCTCTTGCCACTCCTTTTTGGCCTGCAAAGTTTCTTTTGAGAAATTGGCTGACAGTCTTATGGGAGCTCCTTTGTAGGTAACAAACTGCTTTTCTCTTGCTGCTTTTAAGATTCTCTCTTTGTCTTTAACCTTTGGCATTTTGATGGTGATGTGTTCTGGTGTGGACCTCTTTGGGTTCATCTTGTTTGGGGCTCTCTGTGCTTCCTGGACTTGTTTGTCTGTTTTCTGTCATTATTTTTTCAAATAGGTTTTAAATTTCTTGCTCTCTCTCTTCTCCTTCCAGCATCCCCATGAAATGAATATTGGCATGCTTGAAGTTGTCCCAGAGGCTCCTTACACTATCCTCATTTTTTTGGATTCTTTCTTCTTTTTGCTGTTCTGATTGGGTGTTTTTTTGCTCCTTATATTCCAAATCAACAGTTTGCTTCTTGGCTTTACCTACTCTACTATTGATTGTCTGTAAATTATTATTTATTTCAGTTAGTGCATCCTTTATTTCCGACTGGTCCTTTTTTATGTTGTTGATGTTCTCACTAAGTTCCTTGGAGTTCTCCTTAAGCTCCTTAAAATTCTAAGTTCCTTGAGCATCCTTATAACCAGTGTTTTGAACTCCATCAGATTGCTTATCTCCATTTGTGTAGTTCTTTTCCTGGAGTTTCATTCTTTTCTTTCACTTGGGACATGTTTCTGTGTCTCCTCATTTTGGCTGCTTCCCTGTGTTTGTTTCTATGTGTTAGTTAGAGTTGCTAGGTCTCCTGGGCTGTGTAGGGTGACCCACTGTTGTAGGTGTCCTTCAGGGTACAGTGGCACAGCCTCCCTGATCACCCTAGCTGGGCCCTCGAAGTGCACCCCTAGTGTGGACTGTACACTCTTTGGTTGTAATTGAGTCTTGATTGCTGTTGGCACATCAATGGGAAGGATTACTCAGGCTGATCACCTGCAAGGACTGGCTGTTCCCACTGACCACTGGCCTCTGACTACTTTGGAGGATCAGCTGTGTAGAGGCTCACCACACAGAGCAAGATTTACTTCAGCAGGGTTCTGGTACCCAATGAGTCCACTCATTGAGTGTGTCACTTATGGAGGTGGTTGGGTGGTGGTGCTTCGATGTGGTCTGAAGCTGTCCACCAGGTGTGCTGGCTCTGGGGCAAGGTCAGCCACTGAGCCTGTGTTCTATCAGGGGCCACCCAGCATAAACTACAAAGGGATCTGCAATGGCTATCTTTTGTGGTGGGCTTGGAGGTGCCCAGGAAAAGCCAAGTTGTGAACCAAGGCTGGCTGCTTCTAGTGCCAGGCCTGAGGCCCCTTAACAGAGGTATGGGGCCTGCTGAGACCAGATGCTGCTGCTTGCTTGAGATATTTTAGGAAAACCTGAAGCAAGATCCAAGACAGGCCAATCCTATGATAAAGCCATTAGAAACAGATTGGGTAGACTTGAAAGTTGGGTGGAGCAGGGCCTCAGGGAGTCACCAGGATGGGGCAAACAGTGTAATCCTGGTTGCTGAAGACCCAGATATGGTGGCTGGTGTCTGCTGCCCCAGGGAAGGGCTCACCAAATGAACAAAGGCCTCCACCAGCATATCTATCCTCGAGAAAGCTGCCTCTCTAGCCCTTGTCTGGAGGCCAAACAGCTCAGTTGTTCCCAGTATGTCTCTGGTGCCTTTCAAACTGCCTCTCCTCCAAGCTCAGAGGGAGCAAATCTGGGTAAGTCCTGCTGGGCCCTTTAAGAGGAACTGCTTAGGGCTCCAGCAGCCTCAGCCTCAGTTACTGCTGGTTTTTACAGCCAGAAGTTATGGGGACTTCCCTTCCTGGCACTGGAACCCTGAGCTAGGAGCCTGGTGTAGGACTGGGACCCCTCACTCCTCAGAGTGTCCCTCCTGGTTTTTATCTGCCACAAATGAGTGTGGGACCAGCCCATCTGTGCCTCTACCCCTAGTGCCTCTGCCCCTCCTACCACTGTTGATGTGGCTTCTTCCTTAATTTTGTCATTGTAGGACTTCCATTCAGCTCGATTTGAAGAGGTTACAAGTGATAGTTTTTTTCTGTAGTTTAGTTGAAATTTGATGTGGTTGTAGGAGGAGGCGAGTACCGCAGTTACCTAAGCTGCCATCTTGACTGGAAGTTCCGGTCCAGAATAATATTAAAGATAAAAGGCTGAAGCAAACTGCTCTCGTTTCTTGTTATTTAAAATAAAATATAATTACTTTTCTAATTTCCAAAGAAACTCCTGCACTAATTCCATCACTGCCAACCCATATATAAGATGAAGTTAAACAGAAGTTATTAAGGAACAGACGTGTACAAAATCCAAGTAAAGCGATGTCCATTTTTCCAATGCCTTTATCCTTTTTCTTAATTGTAGAGCATACTACATCCTCAATCAATGACAAATACAATTTAGAAGGCATTAGCACACAATAAAATGATTTAATGATAATAGCTAATGTTTATTGGGCACTTACTACTTGCATTGAGCTAAACACAGATTATCTAAAAAAAAAAAAAAAATGAATTGAACCCCCATGACAGACAGCCCTGTGAGTACTAGATATATTTATTTTACATACAGATAAGGAAGCTGAAGCTTATTAAGTGGCCATAAATCTTTAAAGTTGTAAAATTAGTGGACATGATGAAATATTTGAGGGTAACCATAATTAGGGACAGGGATGATTTCTCTCCAAAGCCAGAAATGTGTTCTTGGTTGGACATTGTGGAAAGGTCTGTTCTTATCCCACAGCACAGCATTAACACAAGCCTTTACAATAATAGTAGCTATATCATCAATCATTTTAGAGTAAGTAACTGTTACATATGCTTCATAGCTTCAAGCAGATTCATGCAAATAAACATTTAACAAAATGAAAACCAAGAATCAAATGAATTATGGAGGTGCGGAACAAGTATAATGTAGGTAGATATTATTAGTTTTATGAAAATCTTAAAAAATTGCAGCAATTCCCAAGGGATGTACACACACACACACACACACACACACGAATGGGTGTATGTAGAGGGCAATTAATTCTTTGTTTTAGAATGCTGTCCCATGCATTAAAATACATTTAGCATTCTTCTTTTTAAATTGAATCTAGAGAGAGGAAAGGAGAGAGAAAGGAAAACACTGATGTGAGAGAGAAACATTGATCAGTTGCCTCCTGTACATGCCCTGACCTGCGACAGAATCTGCAATGTGGGTATGTGCCCTGACTGGGAATCCAACCCATCACCTTTTGGTGCAGAGATGACACTCCAACCAACTCCATCCAGCCAGGGCACATTTACCATGCTTCACCCCCACCCATAAAATACCAGAAGTTTTCCCAAAGCTTGTGATCACTGAATATATCCTTGCACATTTTCTGCTGACCTGGACTGAGAACCACTAACTGTTGGATAAAAATGTTGAGAGAGAAGTAACTGGTATTAACTGAATCCTGCACCAAGTACTCTGCTAAGCACATTCATACATATTCATTCAATCTTAATAATCTCATATGAGGTAAATTCACATTTTATCTCCATTTTACAGGTGTGGATCCTGGAGCTTAGAGAAGCATTAAGTAACTTGAACACACAGATAGTTTGGCTCCAAAACCACATTTCTCTGGGTTGGTCTTTTAAACTACAAGGGTGTGGTAGGCATGCTTTTTCTTTCTTTGAAGAGGTTCATTCAGAAAATATAAATCCTTATAAGTAGGACCCATGGGTTGCGTGTCCGTATGAATTAGTTCCCTGAGTTAGGGTTGAGGGGCCACATGTTCATGACTAAGACTTATAAGATGTGGGTGCCAAGAGTTGGGTTGAGTAGCAACTATGCATAGGTGTATATATTAGAAGTACTGAGTGCGCGTGTGTGTGTGTGTGTGTGTGTGTTTGTGTTTTCAGGGGGATTAAGAGAGTTGTGCTATGTTGTGTGAGATGTATGTGTTTTAACACTTCCATAGCGTTTGTCATGTATGCACCAGGCATCATTACAACTGTTTGACAATACTTCATTTCAGTGAGTATGTCAGGTGATTAACAGTGCATTGTGTCTATGTAGCAATGTACACAAGAGGTGACAGGTACTGGCTATGCTAGGGAGGAGAAAGGTCCACTGTGATGTGTGTACCTACAGTTCGTGTTATGATATAGACGGTCGTGTTTGAGGCTGGGGAAGGGTTATGCTAGATGATTTGTGCACAGTGCATACAGGAGGAGTGGTGCGCCTCACATGTGCATTTTTTACATGGCGGGTAGTGCCGAACACCGGAGGAGCTCCGTGGGAAGGGACCTGGATTGTGGCCTGGGCCTGGTGCCTGGAGACGCTGTGGACTCCGGTGTTGTCAGCGTGTAGTGCTATGTTTTGAAAGGGGTGCACATGGTGATTCATGCGGTGTGCTGGGTAGAAACGCGGAGTGGAGAGGAGGGGGCTGGTGTCGTGACGCGAGTGGGGAGCGATGCTGAGTGCGGTGGGAGGGCGGGGAATCGTGCTAGATGCCCCGCGAGTGTCCCGAGGTAGCCCGAGGCGCTGTACCGGGAGAGGCGGTACAGCAGGGTGGGGGTCGGGGCGAACGCCGGTGCAGAGGGGTTGCAAAGGACGCGTCTGCTGCTAGACACCCGGCCGGCTGAAGAGCTGCGTGGGCGGCGCGTCTGCGGGAGTGTGCGAGGGGCGGGCGGCCCGCTTCCTCACCCGAGCCTCACCGGGCCGTGGCCCCTGCCGGCGCCTCCCGCCCCCCCGTCCCTCCGCTCAAGGGCGCGCCCCCCGCGCGGCCCGGCCCGTCTCACCGGGTGAAGGCGAAGTACATAAGGCTGACGATGGTGAAGCTGAGCAGGGTGATGGTGTGCGGCCGGTAGAAGAAGTCGATGGTGATGTCCTCCACTTGCTGCTCGTTGATCATCCGGAAATGCATCTTGTAGTTCACATCATCTTTGCTCAGGGTCCTGCTCCCCACGCAGGATGCCATGGCCCGCCTCCCCGTTCTGCGGCGGCGGCGGCGGCCCCGGCCCGTGGAGGCTGGGACCCCGGAGGTGACGAGCCACAGCGGGAGGGAGCCCGAACCGCGCGGCCGGATCTGGCGCGGAAGACCCGCTGGGAGCCAAAGGAAGGACGGGCGCCGGAGGGCGGGGTCGCGTCACCGCCAACGCGGCCTCGGGCGGGGGGCCCCGCCGGCCGCCCCCCTGCTGGCGTTCTGGGAGAGGCATAGCTGTGCACTCCTGGCGTCTCCACGTTCCCGGTGGACCAGGCCTAAGGAAGGTGGCGAGCGCGGGAAGGGAAGCTGCGGGTCCAGCTCGCTCTTTCTCCGCACGCCGCCCGCTCTCCCCCCCGCCGCTGTCTCTCCGATGGTCTCGCCCACTCCCGCCGCAGCCCACGTGGGCGAGGCTGCGCCGAGCGCGGGCCCGCGGGCCGACGAGTTGGAGTTCGGGGGGTGGGATGCGGTACGCGCTGCCCGGCCACCCTGACAGCCACTGCGAAGTAACCCGCAGGACCTCCCGAGGCCTCGCCCCAGGTAAAGCGGAAGGCGATGGGGCGCCAGGGCGCCGTCCCGGCCTGGGTTTGGGTCCGGACTCGCCGAGTCCCAGGGCCTCGGGGCCTTGTTAGGTCTTCGCGGCCCAGTCGAGGGTGATTTGTTTTGTTTTTTACCCCTGGCTGATGTAACCAAACTGTGCTTTTCGGGGGACGCGGAAGTAATGCTTGTCAGTCTGTATGCGGAAGTTCGGGTGGGTGCTCATTTAAAATAGCCGAGGCGGGGTGCCGAGCAGTGTACTTCGAAGCCGCCGCTCCAGCCCTGTTTCATCTGCTCATTTATTATCCTTACCGAGGTGGAAATCTTGAACCCTCCAAAAATAGCGTTTCAGTGCCAATTCCTATTCCTAGGGAAGTACTGAGGCACACAGTTGGGAAGGAGTATGTGATATTTTAATAGGCTGAAGAATTAATTAAAGCGTTTTTTCTTTAATATTCCTGCCGAGGGAGTCGTGTTAGAGACTGTTATCACTAAGCAGGGCTTTTCGACACATATGCGAATGTGTTACCCGCTGTGTAGGCGAATGCGTTAACCATAATTGCAGTAGATGTGTTTCAGCCCGACACACATTGGAGCGGTGCAGGGCTCATGGGGAGTAGTCCCTGGGAGGGTGAATCCAGAGATGAGAGACCCTGTTGTCCTGAAGGAAGGGAATCTGTCGGTGTGGCTCAGGGGTTGAGCGGCGACCCATGCACCAAGAGGTGCCCCTTTAGATTCCGGTCAGGGCACATGCCCTGGATGTGGGCCCGATCCCCAGTGGGAGGCATGCAGGAGGCGGCCAATCGCTGTTCTCTCTCATCGATGTTTCTCTCTCCCTCTCCCTTCCTCTCTCTCTAAAATCAATAAAGGAATAAAAATAATAATAATAAAAGAAATACAGCAGTGAAATGATGTAGAGATGATAGTGTGTTTGAAAATATAAACATGAGTTGTATACATAAAGGTATTTTAATGACTGTGGAGGGAATTCAAAAGCTAATCTGCCTCGTGCAGGAGTATTAATTTGAGCCTGGAAAGGCTTCTGAGTAAGTTGCCATTTCAGGAGTTTGACAAACAGGACATTCTCAGGTAAACTTGTAAGTCAAAATATTCTACAGCTAATAGGGACCTTAAGGATCTTCTTATTGTACCTGTGACCTTTTAAATATGCGTTAGTGAGCCCGGGCCACTTTGGCTCAGCGGTTGAGCGTCGGCCTGCGGACCAGAGAGTCCCTGGTTCGGTTCTCACTGGGGGCACGTACCACAAGAAAAAAAAAAATCCTTAGTGAAAGGATGGTCATTGAACCACGACATGGGCCAGATGTGCTAGTCTCATCAAGGTAGCCTAATTGAAGTATGGGTTCCAATTTAGTGCCTTATGACTTTGCTGTGCAGAGAATGAATGTTGTAGGTTTGAGAGAAAATTTGGTTTGGAGGCTCATTTCCTAATAACATTTTAACAAAAATCATCTATCTCGCAGGCTATCGAGAATGCTTATTTCTTTTTAAAAATCATTTCAGAATGAGTACTACTTTCACTTTTTAAAATCCCTTTCAGAAGACTTTTCTGAACTAAGCCTTTTCAATTTGCAATTGGGAGTCTGCATATATGGAGGGTGGACATAAGTTATACCCAGATTTACCACTGCACAGTAGTCGGTGTCCCTAACACTCAAATTGTTCAGTGGTCAACTGTAAAAATTTCCAAGAGAATTTAGACTCTGAAGTATTTGGTCTAAACAACAGGGGGAAAAAAAAAGGTATTTGATTCATTTATATTTGGTTGTGTAATCAATAATAATAGCCAGTGACATTTCTGAAGCATTTTCCTTATGCAGGACTCTGCAATGTTTTCTGTGTATTAAATTATTTAAAGTGAAAGTATATATGTATCTAATTTACCTTTGTAATTAACTGGCTAAATACAAATTCCTTCATAATCCTTCCAACTTCTCATCAGCTCTTATAAGATTTTTATAAGATTTAAAAATCTTAAAAGCGAATGTTTTTCCATCATAAATATATTTATTGCTTGTTGCTATGTATTTCTCTCACTGCATTTTGCTTTCCAGTTTTGATTTCAGGCTTTTCTTTTTCTTTTTTCTTATAAACAGAATTTGACCAAATTAATTTTGTTCAGTTCCCTTTTGAGTAACAGCTTTATCTGAAATAATCAAAAGTGTTTTGCCCTGAGGATAAAGCAAGAACCATTCTTTTAGATAGCCATGATAATACTTTGATGATTCATTTAAGACAAACTATTAGATTTCTTTCTGTTTTTTATTTTGTGACTAATGTACAGTTGACCATTTAACAACATGGGTTTGAACTGCATGGGTCCACTTATATAGGTGGATTTCTTTCAATAAATATATTGGGAAAATTTTTGGAGTTTGTGACAGTTTGAAGAAATTTGCAAATGAACCACATAGCCTAGAAATATTGAAAAATTAAGAAAAAGTTAGCTATGTCATGAATGCATAAACTACATGTAGATACCAGTCTGTTATATCATTTACTACAATATATACACACATCTATTATTAAAAGTTAAAACATCAAAACTTGGACATGTAATACTTACAGACTATGCATTTGTGGTCACAGCCAAGAGAAATGTAAACAAAGGTAAAAATGCAGTATTAAATCATAACAGCATGAAATTCACTGTGGTACATACAGTACTACAGTAATAATTTTGTAGCCACTTTGTGTTGCTATTGTGGTGAACTCAAGTGTTAGGAGCGTCTGCTTAAAATACCATGTGATGCTAATTATCTCCACGTGAGCATTTCCTCTCCAGTAAATTGCGTATCACATTGTGTTTAGTGTAATACCATCAACCTTGAATACCACCATGGGACCCAAACAAAGCGCCACTAGTGATGCTGGAAGTGCTCCCAAGAACCAGAGTAAAGTCATGACAAAGTATCTTTCTCTCTCTCTCCCCCTCCAGTAATTGTAGAAACTGCACATCATCACAGGTAAGTGGTTATTTTAAAGAGTATAACAGTTTCCAACACTGTATTATGAATATGACTAATACTGTATGCCGTAAAAAAATGTGTAACTATTTTTCATTAGTGTATAGGTTATCATATCAAAACAATCATACTAGTTACCTTAGACAAATCAACCATCAAGCAATTTATATTGGTGATGCTTTGTTATGAATGCATGAATCATACCTGTTAATAAATGCAAATTTTTTTCACATTATCTTTTTATTTTTGATGTCTAGTGTTAATAATACATATAATATCTATAGTGTTTTGTATCATTAGACAATGTTGATGTAGGTACTGGCAGTTCATCATGTACTTACAGTATTGATAAATACAGTATAGTAGTGTAAATGTATTTTTTCTTACAATTTTCTTAATAACATTTTCATTTGTCTAGTTTCCTTTATTGTAAGAATACATTATATCATACATATAGCATTCCTGGCCAGTTTGGCTCAACGGTTAGAGTGTCTGCCTGCAGACCAAAGAGTCTCGGGTTCAGTTCCAGTCAAAGGGCATGTACCTCAGTTGTGGTTCTGTCCCCAGCCCTGGTTGGGGTCATGCAGGAGGCAACCAATTGATGTATTTGTGTATGTGTGTCTCTCTCCCCCCTACTCTATCTGAAGATAAATGGAAAAAAGTTTCCCCGCGTGAGGATTAAAAAAACAAACACACATCGCATACTAAATATTTGTTTATCAACTCTTTATGTTATTGATAAGGCTTCTTCTGTTCAACAGTCAGCTATTAGTAGTTAAGTTTTGAAGGAGTCAAAAGTTATACATGAATATGCTGCTGTAAGTGGTGGGGCATGGGGCCCTTAACTCCCATGTTGACCAAGGGTGAGCTGCATATACATAAAATGCATTTGAATAATTCACGGTCGTTTTGATCAGCAATCTGTTTCTTACGTGTCCTTCAAACCAAATTTCAAGAACACTTAATTGCATTAATTTATTTTCTTTAAATTATTAAATTAACAGAGATTATTGGGTTCAGTTATAATTTGAACATTTACAGATTTTTGTTTTAAATATTTTTCTTACATCAGTGATTTTGTTTTCTGTTTTTAAATGGAAAAGCAGATCGTTATTTTTCCAGTTCAAAAGTTCCTGTCTTTTGGTTTGTAAATGAAACTGCCTTGTTTTTGGCTTTTCTTGTGCTTAAGAAACATCTGACTACTTGAGTCATCTAAATTTATTAAACACCTTTTAAGTAGAAAAAAATAGTTTCCAGTTTATCTTTTTATTGTTTGAATATTGTTTTAAATGTTCAAGTAAAGTGCCTTTCTCTTTTTTTTAATGATTATCTGTATCCTTTGTAGGCTACTTTAAGAAAAATGGCCCTGTCAGCCCAACAGATACCCAGATGGTTCAACTCAATTAAACAGAATAGCTTCATTACTGCTACACAACTCAGAAATTGTTTTCAGAGACCAGGAAAAACATTGATGTATGGAGTTTCTGCTCAGCCTCAGATGTCCTCTGACAACTGCTTCCTACAATGGGGATTTAAGACTTATAGGACTTCTTCCATATGGAATAATAATTCCCAGTTTACCAAATCAAGTAGACAAGAGATT